GTGGATGAGTATATCCGCACCTTCACTCGCATGTGCCTTTTTGTGGGCGACGCAGTGAACACCGATGCCAAGAAGGCCCGCATCTTTCTCAAGGGGCTCAACCAGAGGATCTGTGAACTCGTGGGGAGTCACGGACTGATGTCCTATGCTGACACCGTGAGTCGAGCTCAGGAGGTCGAGAGCTGTCTCATTCCATTGGCTCCAGTTCCTTCTTTCTATCATGCCTCTCAGCCATCCCAGGCCATTATCCAGCATGCTCAGCCCCTCTCGTCTGTGCAGCCCAGCTCTAGTTCGGGCAAGAGGAAATCTGATTATCAGAACAAGAAGAAGGACAAGAAGGGAAATTTTGGCAGACGCGACGACCGACCCACCCAGGGTCAACTGCCGAGGTGCCCTAAGTGTGGCAGGTTCCACGCCGGAGAGTGCCTAGCTGACCAGCGAGCTTGTTACAATTGCAACCTTCCGGGCCATTATGCCAGTGTCTGTCCTGAGCCCAAGAGGCAGCAGCAGCAGCTTCCCCCACTGCCACCTCATCAGCAGCGTCAGCAGCCCCCACCGTTCCAGCAGAGGGCTGGGGGTCAGGCCCGAGTCTATACCATCACCCATGATGAGGCCGCTCGCAACACAGGTACCATGTCCGGAATGCTTTCGATATCTCATGTGCCTGTTTTTGCTTTATGTGATACCGGTGCTACCCATTCTTTTATTTCTTCTCGTTGCTTGGAGGCTTTATCTTTTGGCACCGTGCTTGCTTGTGATCCTCTCGAGGTTAGTTTAGCCTCGGGAAAAATTATTATCTCTGATTATGTGGTTCGCAATCTCCCTATCTGCATTGGTGGTCAAGTTCTAGAGGCCGATGCCTATGTAATTGATATGCGAGACTTTGACGTGATCTTGGGCATGGACTGGCTCACCCGTTACCCCGAGCCGATATCCGGTGCCAGGAACGCGAAGTCACCCTCTATCCCGTTTCTGATCAGCCTGTTGTGTTCTTTGGGGTAAGTTCGAGGACTGTGCCTCGGGTCATCTCTTCTATGCAAGCTAGAAAGAGCCTTTCCAAGGGTAGCTGTCAAGGCTATCTTGTTTCCATGGTATCCGACGTCGTTGATGAGCGGGTGCCCGAGCGAGTATCTATCGTTTGTGAGTACCTCGATGTCTTTCCTGATGACTTACCCGGAGGACCGCCAGACCGCCAGGTGGAGTTCACTATTGACCTCATTCCAGGATCCGGCCCCGTTTCTAAGGCCCCTTATCGTATGGCGCCGAAGGAGCTTCAAGAGCTCAAGGCCCAGATCCAGGAGTTGCTTAAGCTTGGTTTCATTCGTCCGAGTGTCTCGCTGTGGGGTGCGCCCGTCCTTTTCATAAAGAAGAAAGACGGATCTATGTGCATGTGCATTGACTATCGGGAGTTGAATGCCCTTACAGTCAAGAACAAGTACCCCCTTCCCCGTATTGAGGACCTTTTCGACCAGCTGAGAGGAGCCAGCGTCTTCTCAAAGGTTGACTTGCGTTCTGGCTATCATCAGCTGAAGATCCGGGAATTGGATATTTCTAAGACTGCTTTCCGTACCCGCTATGGCCACTATGAGTTCGTAGTCATGCCGTTCGGACTCAGCAATGCCCCAACCGTTTTCATGGACCTTATGAATAGGGTCTTTCATCCTTTCCTGAACCAGTTCATCATTGTGTTCATCGACGACATTCTGGTCTATTCCCGAGACATCGATCAGCACAAGGAGCATTTGAGGATTGTGCTGGAGACTCTTCGCCGCGAGAAGTTGTATGCTAAGTTGTCGAAGAGCGAGTTCTGGCAGAACCGTGTTGCATTCCTTGGCCACATTGTGACAGCTCGAGGCATTGAGGTGGATCCAAGCAAGATTGAGGCTGTGAGCAAGTGGGATACGCCAAGAAGTGCTGCAGATGTTCGTAGTTTCCTGGGGTTAGCAGGATACTACAGGAGGTTTATCGAGGGCTTCTCGAAGATAGCCCAGCCACTGACCAACCTTACGAAGAAGGACGTGAGGTTCGATTGGAGTCCTCAGTGCGAGGAGAGTTTCCAGGAGTTGAAGAGGAGACTCACTACCGCGCCTGTCCTATCTATACCCGACCCTACTTTGGAGTTCACCATCTATAGTGATGCTTCGAAGATGGGTTTGGGATGTGTCCTTATGCAGCAGGGGAAAGTCGTAGCCTATGCTTCGAGGCAGCTGAAGCCTCACGAGCAGAACTACCCCACTCATGATCTTGAGTTAGCTGCAGTTGTCCACGCTTTGAAGATTTGGCGGCACTACCTCTATGGAGGCAAGTGTGAGATCTTTACCGACCACAAGAGCCTGAAGTACATTTTCACTCAGAAGGAGCTGAACATGAGGCAGCGTAGGTGGTTGGAGCTGGTCAAGGACTACGACTGCACCATTAGCTATCACCCTGGGAAAGCTAACGTGGTAGCCGATGCCCTTAGCTGGAGGAGTTATGGCCAGCTGTCTTGCTTGTTCACCAAACAAGATGTTCTTCTTCGGGAGTTCGAGCGATTGCAGATAGAGACAGTACAGTCGACTTCGACAGCCGGGGGCATTTTGTCCTCTTTGGTTGTGGGATCGACTCTTCGAGAGAGGATAGTCGCCGAGCAACCGAATGATCGTTTCTTATGCCGGATGAGAGAATTGTTAGAAGCCGGTAGAGTTGGAGGATTCGCAGTCACATCTGATGGGGCCTTGGTCTTTGAGGGTAGACTTTGTGTCCCGAAGGTGTGGGAACTGCGAAGGGATATTCTGAGAGAGGCCCATAGTGCCCGGTATACCATCCATCCTGGTAGCACGAAGATGTATCAGGACCTGAGGAAGTCCTTCTGGTGGTGAGGTATGAAGAGGCAAGTAGCGAAGTTCGTGGATGGGTGCCTGGTGTGTCAGCAAGTGAAGGCTGAGCGCCAGAAACCGAGAGGGTTGTTGCAGCCCCTTGAAGTTCCCCTGTGGAAGTGGGAGTGCATCGCCATGGATTTCTTAGTGGGACTGCCGAAGTCTAGGAGTGTGTATGATTCGATTTGGGTGATAGTGGATCGCCTTACGAAGTCTGCCCATTTTCTGCCAGTCCGGACGACCATGAAGGCGAGTGATTACGCCGAATTGTTCGTCAAGGACATTGTGAAGCTCCATGGAGTGCCCGTGGAGATTGTTTCTGATCGAGACCCCAAGTTCGCATCTCAGTTCTGGAGGACACTGCACCGAGCCATGGGGATGAGGTTGGAGTTCAGTACAGCCTTTCACCCCGAGACAGATGGTCAGTCGGAGCGTACGATCCAGTACTTGGAGGATATCTTGAGGGCGGTGTCTTGGACCGAAGCCTAACTTGGGAGTATGCCCTTCCGTTAGTCGAGCTGACCTACAACAACAGCTACCACTCTTCGATCAAGATGGTCCCATATGAGGCTTTGTACGGACGTAAGGTCTGGACTCCCTTGTATTGGGATGAGGTTTGAGAGAGGAGGATCACGAGCCCGGACTTTGTTCAGAGTACTGCGGCGACA